CTTCAGTTACCTTTTCGTTTTCATCTTTTTCTTCAATAGGCAAATCATGTAGGTCCATTATTGATTTCGTCATTTCCTCAACTCGTCTCGCGTAAGTTGAAAGTACATTTAAGGTCGTTACTAGTCTCTTTGAAGAAATGGTAGTCTCATCGGCAGCTATCAAGTCGTTGGCTTCGGCAATTGCAGTCTTCAATCTTTTGCTTGCCTCGATGTAGTTCTTTCATAGCCGTTGAGAAGACATTTCTGAGTTTTTACTATACCCTTGCCTGGGGGATCTCCAACCACGGAAAAAGTCCGTCAACGCTCTGCTACCATGACGCGAAATTTGGATTGAGGATTGAGTTATGTCTTGCCCAATAAGTTGTTTTAATGTGGAAGCGTATTTATAAATTTAGTTGAGTAAAGTTTAGTAGTTTAGTTTCAAGATTCTTTGGTAATTACTAAATATAAGTTAGGAATGTGATTAGTTCTATGGATTGAACTTAGTTTAAGTTACACGAAAAATGAACACTTATTTCATCCAGTTTAGTTTTCATTCCAAAAGTTGTTAGTTTATTTACAATCACCAACAAAATATCATCTGTGTTATAAAGCATATGAAAATAAAAACATTTGTTATGTACAGTCTTATGGTATAGCCACAGGGGCACCCTGTTGTTAAACCTACCAACTCGGTACTTTCCTGTTAAAGGGAACATTCATTATTATCGATGATTTTTCTCTCGATATATCGATATTTTTGTTTTCCGATCCATTACAAATTGACAACTGATCTTGTTTAGGCTAAAATAGTCTATTATATGGATTAATAAATGAAAACGTTCTAAGCTAACCTAACATAACCAACCGAACTTGCTGTACTATTTAAAAATTCCTTTTGATAACAGAAAAACAAGTTAAACACAGAATTTTTATATGTTACACAGCAAGTTTGGTTAGTTATGTTAGGTTATTTTTTTTAGAACAGTTTCATTTCATTATTGTTTGTTGATACTGAACAAAATTTATCGTAGTTGTCAGCTGATATGTTTCAATTGGTTAATATCGATATATCGAGAGAAAAATCATCGATAATAATGAATGTTCCCTTTAACAGGAAAGTACCTAACTCTTTAATGCTAATGAACATCACAGAATCAAATTGTTTAGTTGAACCAGCTGGTAAGATTCTTTAATTACATTTAAATATGAGTACTCATAAGGTTAACATGGGAAACTCCAGAGCCACTTGGGCAGAGCCCTTTTGACGGATCTGCACCAAACTTCACACAAACCATCCTTGAATTGAAAGTTTCATTACAATCTGTCAAGCGGTTTCGGAGTCCGTAAAGGACAAACAAACAAACATACATACTTTATATATATATATATATATATATATAATTATTTTATATATATAGATTAACATAAAAATGAACGTACAATAATATCAATACTGGGATGCCAAATCGTCTTTCACTATATAACATACATCCCTAGAAGCACAAATATGTATTTTATAAATATTTAATATATTCAAAGTTTTATATGATAGAACATCAAATAAATATATAAATAATATATTTTTAATTATAGTTTGATATATTCAAATATATATTTAAAATATTATCAAATAGCAATGCAAAATAAAAATTAAATATAAGTTTTGAATACATAAAATAGACTCATTATATATATTGATAAAATAAGTATAGTATCTATAATATACATATTTTGTATGTATATTTTTCCTATTAAATATGTGTTGAGAACATTTTAAATATATATACATATAATATTTTTGAAACTATATTATATATATCATGTATTTAGAAATATATTTGAGATATATATTTTGAAACACGTCAGATGTTTTTGTTAATAAAATAATAGTATATTTGTAGAATATATATTAGAATCTATTATAGTTGGCAAATAAATTAATAGCATCTTTTTTGTATAGTGTCTATCAATTTGTACCTGCATTTGCGTTTTTTGTTTTAAAATTGCTATTGTGAAAGCGTTAAAATTGAGTAAATAATAATACATACTCTGTATGGAGTCACTCTATCGTGCAGGAAATAAAAAAATATTCATATAGTTAAGGGGGTTAATAGGGTTAATAGGGGGATATGATACATGTGGGTCAAACGAAGAAAGTGGGTTTTATTCTTTTACTAGCAATATGTGACAATTAATGTGATCATGGAAATCTCGAATGATTGGCTACAAAGCAAAGGGAGCTAGCTAGTGACTGGTGACCTTTTAAGAAACGAATTACGGTTGTATATGACGTTCTAAAATAATTTATTTGATTTACTTATGTCATAAATTACATAATATTTGTTATACTGTAGTATTGAAACTAATTTTTGTAGTTTACTGTATTTGTATTCGTGGGCACTACTCACTATTCACTACAGCACTATTCAACTCAACTACTTGATGCCTAAACAGATTAACAGAATCATATTATACTGTAGTATTAAAAATATTGTAAGTATTGCAACCATTGCAACTGTCGGCTACTCTTTCACCATTTGAAAACTAAGACTATCAACAATCACGGATAGCTCAAGTGTAAGGCAAAAGGCTCATAAGTTGAAAGAATCAGGTTCGAGACCCATCTGGGCAAAAAAAAAATCGTTTTTTCAAAATTTGTTTTTATGAACTTTAATTAATTTACCCAACTGATAATTGTGCTTTTCATACTAAATCTTTATTATTTTGTGTTTTTATGTTTAGGCCCTATGGGATGGTTGGAAGTGATATTATATACATTTCTTATTTAAATATTATTCACATAAAATATATTATTGGAACATATTTTTTTATTTAATAAATTCAAATACATATTTTTTGTATATTTAATATATTTTAAAAGTTATATAATTTATTTTTGTAAAAAAATACAACCTACTTCAAACGCTCTAAAAAGAATGAAATAATTTCAATAAAGTAAAAACTTTTGTATTAGGCAAGCTCACGTATTTTAAGTCAGCGCGGCTCTATGATGATTTTTGATGCAAAATTGAAAGAGGGTGTCCATATTGCAGGTGACTATCTATAACTAAAGGTGTTAATCTGCATGTCTTTTTCATAGTTATGCGTTAAGTGTTATTTTATTACCGTAATCAGAGATCGGTATTATAGTGGTATTAACGAGTATCTTTAAAAGTTTTATAACGCATTTAAATGTTTCTAACTTGGAAAAGTAACGTTTTAATACTAAACTAGCTTCTTTTCCCTATCATAATATCAAACTAAATTATTTTCCTATTCATATAGAACATTTGTGTGTGTTATTTTCATAATGCATTTATTCTGAAGTAAACATAAAATACAAGAAAATATTTCCTTTAATATAGGTATAAACAATAAAACAGTTCAGTATGTTTTTTATATATTTATGTTATCCAGCTACAATTTATTGATTTTCAAAATACACACACATCAATCATATTTGCAGTTTGAGCCGCGCCGACTTGAAATACGTGAGCTTGCCTAATACAAAAGTTTTTACTTTATTGAAATTATTTCATTCTTTTTAGAGCGTTTGAAGTAGGTTGTATTTTTTTACAAAAAAAAATTATTTTATGATTTTTAGTGACTGTATATTTTTTTATATATTAATTACTTGTGGATTTTCGATAAGCAAAACTGTTTGATACAATCAAAAGTTCCACAGAACAATCATTATTTTAAAACTGCTTGAGTCACCTGTTCAGGTTACATAATCAATGGGTATGGAAATAAACATCTTTACATATTCCTTAAGAAAGAAAGAGTTGTCCATTACATTAGGCCTAATGAAAAACTAATTGTCTTTTCTAGATACATTGAAATGTCAGACATCATCGTTTCCTACAATCGGTGTACTTCTACATTTTAAAAAGAAATACAGTAACGTCTCAAGCCTTTTGGAACAATATGAAAGTTATTCCTCAGCTACCAGCACTAAAAAATCTCTCAAAAGTGGAAAATTGGTCGTTAACACTATAGTACCTTTGGAAAATATTATATGAAAGATTGGTTCAACTAAAAGTGGTGTAAGTCATGTAGGGGGTTTTGTTTGCTCAAGATATAGCCTAGTCGAAATTGCAAATCATCTTCCTCTAGGACTTTCCGAAGCAGGCATAATAGTATTGATATGATATAGTAACTGGGTAGAGAATATCAATAAACATTCCACATCTGCAAATGCATGTTTAGTAATTAAAATATTTAACACTTTTAAGACAATTGACGATTATGCACTGTCACACTTCTTAGGTCGTGTAAGGAATAATTGCATTTGATTTATATTTAGACCTGTTTTACGAATGCTTTGGTTTTCACAATACACCTTTATTTGTCAACAATATCATACAGCTATTCACTGAAACATATATGTTTTTGTAAGTCAGAATATTCAATACTAAAAACAGAATTACTGTATACACAAATCAGGTAAAACGTTAAAATACATTTTTTATAGTAACCAAAACAAAATGCATTTTTCTCAATGTAATTCATTTAGGCAATAGTTTATTGGTCAATATGAAGCAACTGTTTCATGAAGAATTGTCTGTAGCTTCATTTAAATGGTTTTAACTAACAGCTGTAGGAATGTTATTATTATTTATTGCCTTCTCTGCACAAATGTAAACAAAATAAATGTTGAATATTTAAGGTTTTCAGAATTTTTCACCGAAACAAATATTATACTTAAACATAATATATAAGGTACCAAATAGAAACTCTCCTGGTTATTTTGGTGGTGGAACCACACTGTTCGGTAAAAGAATCACAGAGAAATTGGTGAACATACATAAAAAAAAAAAAACATCGCCGCAAACAAATTGAGAACCTCCTCCTTTTGTTGGTAGTGGGGAAGTCGGTTAATAAAAGGGTCATTAATACGCAATTACGATGTATAAAATAGATTGTAAATATTTTAATTCACATGCATTTAATAATATATTTTGTGCTACTAGGGATATTACAACTTAATAACTAAAAGTAAATTGTATATGTCTTACCTAAATCCGGCGACACCAAACTCTATTAATTTGTTTAAAAGTTCCACTATCGGTTTTCTGACTGACTCAAGAGCCTGGTTCAAGTCATGCAGGCCATCAAGTTCACATTCTCTTACCTGAAAAAGCAATAATAAAATTACACTGCTGTAAAATTGTAATAAACAATTTGTAAATTCCATAATTTTTCAAAAGTGCCATTTTTTTATATTTTATAATAATTTACAAATAAAAAAAAACTTTTTTAAAATACCACGTTTTCAAACGCCCTAAAAAGTAGAAAATAATTCATTAATATGTGGAGGGAATAATACTTGTAAAATTTTAAATAAAAAACGTAGGGGGCTTGCAATAGCTAATTTACGATTATCATAACCTATTGAATTATTATTATCTATTGCATGCGCCCCACGTTTTTCGTTTTAAATCTTACAAGTATTTATTCTCTCCACATATTTATGAATTATTTTCTACTTTTTAGTTCGTTTAAAAACGTGGTATTTTAAAAGGTTTTTATTTATAAATTATTTTATACGTACTTTTTAGTCTTTAATGTGTAAAAATGTTAAAAATAGATTTTATGGCTTATAAATACACAACCAAACCTTTCTGTAATCACATGTTTTTGCTACTATTCTCATTATCATAAAACTTTAGAATCTCTTGGGAGCATAACCTGTACCTCTTAACATCTGCTCTTTGAACAAACTGTCAAATTTACAGCTGACTTTAATTGATATATTTACATTCATCCAAAATGTAAACATACAAAATTTGGAAGCGCAAGGGAAATATGAATATAAAATGATTTAATATTGCATTGTCATCCATTTGTTAGCTATATTTCAAGTTTCAAGATCCTAGCTCATCGGGAAGTTGTTTTAAAATCGATGGCAAAATTTGTACCTAACAGACAAGAAAGCGAGGTAATAAAAACGTTTTAAAATAAGCCTCCAGCACCCCTACATTTGGCCGTGGTTGCTATCTAATGATTATACACTTACTGCACATAACACATACCTGTCCTGCATCTTTGTAGTCTATGGGGTTACAATATCGATCGTGGAAGTCTTTAGATGAGTAGGGGACCCCTGGGTAAGATTTGTCTCTAGGGTAACACAATGACCCTCCAAAACCACGACAGTTGTCTCTATCAGCTGTCATATGGTTGAAAACTACATCAGCAAACACCCTGTAAAAGCAATATAGTCCAGTAAATATGGCAGAAAATACGGGGTTGCTGTGAAAAAGATCGGGTAGTTATGATTTTGGTGAATTTTCCATATAGGGAATATAGTGTAGTCATTTTAAATCAAAATTTCCCCATTACCTAAAAAAAAACTCTTATAAGTGTAAAACGTGGTACATATACTGAACTTTACTTCTGGAATAACATACTAAATGTCCTCGAAAAAACTTGTGCTACGGCCGCCATCTTGGAAAATGGCGTCCAAAAACCAGTTTTCCCCAATTACTCAAAAACTATTCATCCTATAAACATTAAATATAAAGAATGTTCGCTAAAGAAAGAGCTACAACTTGTAGAAAGAGCTACAATGTTCATTTATAGAATATGTCGATATAACTAACCGTTTATCCATAAAATGCAATATTTGGAAAATAAATTAGAAAATTCGTAAAAAAACATAAATTGCTATTAAAAAAGGATAAACTATTTAAAAAATTATTTGATTATTTTTATTTAAAAATTGGAATTTTCTGAACAGTTTCATACCTTTAACATAACTTTTCCTTTTCATTTATATTTGCTGTGACATTTTAAATGGTACACTGCTGATGCACTACTGGTACCATAATAATCCCATACTGAGTTCATTATGGTACAAGGATGGGATTTGATATGTATGTTTTATTTAGCTACTGAAATTATGAAAGTAATGTCTTTGATCGTGTTCTAGTAATTAACCAAAAACTCCAATTAGTCCAGCATCTATAGGGGGTTGAGTATGCACTGAAAGTGTAACTCTTTTTGACTTTTGATTGTTGTTGGGGGCATCTTGGAGATGACAAAAACCGATGTTGTCGCCCTCCCAGCAGGTGCACAACTTGGGGGGGAGGGGGGGAAGGTGCTCTGAGACGCGTTCTAGAAAATCGCTTATATCTCGTGAACTAGACACGATGGAAACAAGCTCTAAACGGCATTGTATTACCAACCTCATCTGCTTTAAAAACGTATCCAGGAAAAGTCCGGTATTAATGATATTAGTTGAGTTATTTAACAATTTATTTAAAATTTTGAATAAAAACCCCTAAAAAACGTTAAATTATCCATTAAAACCCCTTTAAACGACAAAAAGTACAGTTTTTCATCGTGCATAATATGTTTTACACGCTTAAGAGACTTTATATGGTAATTATATTGAAATATTACAAGGTTATGCTAGGTCTCCGATGAAGCGGCACGGTGACGCAGGTGACGCCGCTGCGCGGCAGGAATCAACGTGAAGTACAGACTTGTAAAAAATGGGTATGTACCGAAAGTGTAACACATTTTGACTTATGATTGTTGTTGGGGGCACCTTGGAGATGACAAAAACCAATGTTGTCGCCATTCCATCAGGTGCACAACTTGGTGGGAGGGGGGGAAGTAGCGCTGAGGCGCGTTCTAGAACATCACTCATATCTCGTGAACTAGACACGATAGAAACGTGTTTTAAACGGCATTGTATTATAAACCGCATCTGCTTTAAATATTTTACAATCAAATATCCTATATCAATGATAAAAATTGAGTTATTTAACATTTTACTTGAAATTACGAATTTAAAGTCAAAATACCGTTGCGATTGCTATATAGCGGCTGTCATTGCAGGTGCATCCTTTTCTTCTTAATCCTGCAGCTCCTACTGCCAATGTTTTAATAATTGTAAAAATCCTTATCATTAAAACAAGATGACTAAAAAAATATCCATTGTTTTTTATGTGTAGTTTACATGGTAGTAAGTTTTAAAATGAAGTACAACATTTCCAAGTATATTTTACAGGGTGTCCACAGAAATTTTTTCATTAATTTCCCTGACTTTCCATGACCATTAACCATTGATATCCATGACTCACGAACTTTACTCAAAAATTATAATATACTGTAAACACACAAATAATACTGCCTAGACAGAAAATATTGAAATACGTATTAACAGATAACAATGGCGTACAACAGGTACAACAATGAACCAAATACAAACTCAAAACCCATAAACTAAGACAACTGTATAAATTGAATTGTCGTATATTTGTGAAAAATTCTGAAAAATGCTACAATAGTTGGGGTTACGGCTGACTAGATCATTGAAAGGACCCCTGAAATACATCCATCATTGGTGATTTCCATGACTTTCCATGACTTTTTGCCTATTTCCATGACTTTCAATGACCAGAATTTTTTTCCATGAGTTTCCATGACTATCTCTGACTTTCCAGAATGTGGACACCCTGTTTTAATATTATTTTAATAAAAACTGTATACATTTCAAACTTAAGCATTTTCTTTGGTAGTTGTACCTAGATTTTTGTTTAAATTTTATATTTAAAATAGACTAGTGTTAAAAACAGCTTATAATTATTCCCTCGCAATTAAACTCGAGAACACTGTACATATTATTTTGAGGAAAGTACAGTACACTTAATTTTTTTGTAATTCGTGTGTTGAACATAAAATAAACTCCAAACACAGTACTATTCATTGTTTTATAAGAGTTATATAGGTAGATAAACGGTATTTTGACTTTAAATTCGAAATTTCAAATAAAATGTTAAATAACTCAATTTTTATCATTGATATGGGATTTTTCGTTGTAAAATATTTAAAGCAGATGCGGTTTATAATACAATGCCGTTTAAAACACGTTTCTATCGTGTCTAGTTCACGAGATAATGAGCGATGTTCTAGAACGCACCTCAGCGCTACTTCCCCCCCTCCCGCCAAGTTGTGCACCTGATGGAATGGCGACAACATCGGTTTTTGTCATCGCCAAGGTCCAACAACAATCAAAAGTCAAAATGCGTTACACTTTCGGTACATACCCAATTTTTATAAGTCTGTACTACACGTTGATTTTTGCCGCGCAGCGGCGTCCCCCGCGTCACCGTGCCGCTTCATCGGAAACCTCGCATAACTTTGTAATATTTCGATATAATTACCATATAAAGTCTTTTTAGTGTGTAAAACATATTATGCACGATGAAAAAACTGTACTTTTTGTTGTTTTAAATGGGTTTTAATGGATAATTTAACGTTTTTTAGGGGTTTTTATTCAAAATTTTAAATAAATTGTTAAATAACTCAACTAATCATAGCTACTGGACTTTTCCTGGATACGTTATTAAAGCAGATGAAATTGGTAATACAATGCTGTTTAGAGCTTGTTTCTATCGTGTCTAGTTCACGAGATATACGCGATTTTCTAGAACGCGTCTCAGAGCACCTTCCCCCCCTCCCCCCCAAGTTGTGCACCTGCTGGGAGGGCGACAACATCGGTTTTTGTCATCTCCAAGATGCCCCCAACAACAATCAAAAGTCAAAAAGAGTTACACTTTCAGTGCATACTCAACCCCCTATAGATGCTGGACTAAATTGCCCATATAAAACTCATGTTAAACGCACAGTATCATGGGAATAGTGTATCTGCATCCACTAATCTTCAGTACTGCACGTTTAGCATGTGTTTTATATGGGCAATTGGAGTTTTTGGTTAATTACTAGAACACGATCAAAGATAGATGGTAGGTTTAAATTTAAAAGTTGTTTGTTTTTACAAGACCTTAAAAATGTTACACAATTTTACATATGTTGCCATTTAAAAATTTCCCATTTACAAGGCTACCAACTAAAAAAAAATTAAAATCATAGAAAAAATATTTAGTTTTTTAAATGTTGACTTGTTGTATATAAAATTAAAGCTGAACCTACGAGGATTACGAATTTTCAAACAGAACGAAAATAAGTTTAGTGGTTTTCAAGATACAGGGTATACTGTAAGTATCAATATTTTCTATAAAAATGGCCACCATTTTGAAACGGACAAAGATCAATGAGTTCTGTTTTCACTAAATTATTTGTCTAGTCTAGAGCTTTAAAATGATGCATAATATGACATATATTTACATTTGAAAACTCTGAGATTCGAACCCATGACCCCCAATTTCTTGAACACTCTGTATTTTAAAAATGGTAAAACTATTTTTAAGTTATTCGTTGGGTATGAGTTAGTGGGGAAAAGTTTTGTTTCATCCCTGTATGTCAAGCCATTCGTCTGTAATCTGTTTAGGGCAGCTTAGAAGATTCACCCTGTATATATATATATATTTATATTACTAAGCAAATCAAAATACCACAGTACCCTAAAAACATTTTATTTTATATTACTTACATAATACAAAAAAGAACAAATCCGATACCCAACCCACCAAATGTATATAAGAAATCAGGAATTTACAAATTATCATATAACAACTTTGAAAAATACTATATTAGTCAAACAGGTCGAACATTTGAAGTCAGATACAAAGAGCATATACAGGCAATCAGATCAAACAATATGACAACACAAAAATCCTCATACGCCGAACATATACTTTAAACCGACCATACATACTCAGAAATGAATAAAAATATGCACATTCTGGATATTGAAAATAAAGGTGAAAAAATGAATACAAAGGAAGACTTTTATATTTATACTCATCATATTAATGACAAAGACAATTTACTAAACTTGACACAAATTCATAATCAAAACGTAATATTCAATGAAATTATACATCTTAAAGTCCTTCCCTTAATATAAAAATTATCACCTGTTCTTTAATAAGAAATATCTAATAATGTTTGTAAATAAAAGAAACTACTAGGTTATATACTATACTGTGATCATGGCATTAATGTCCGAAACATGTAAGTAATATAAAATAAAATGTTTTTAGGGTACTGTGGTATTTTGATTTGCTTAGTAACATTTAAAGTAGCCCTCATTGATGTATACAATAACAAAATATATTTATATATATAAAAACATTATTAAAAACTAAGTACCCTTTTTTTAATTAATTTTATTTAACAACGACTAGTTTCGACGATTATGCCATAGTCATGTTGTTTTTATATCTTAACAAATACAATAAACATTTTATCTAAATAATAAATACAATCATATGATTTCATAGGTTTTGATG